ACCTCGTTACGGAGGCGGGTGCCCCCACCCTTCTAAGGGTGGGTACCCATTTGCCTACTCGCTTGATGATTTTTAATTGCTTTCAGGCCGCTGGGTGGTCGGGAGCTAGGACTCGGGCCAGGAGCTCACCCTGGCCGCGGTGGATTCTCGAACAGCCATAGTGGCTGTCTCTAGTTGTTACTTTTTGGGAAGCGTTCAACCGCTTGCGCCACCGCTCCATGCTTCATGGTGTTCTAAATTTTCTAAAGACACTTCAGTGGCAGATATCATCGGTTTGCTATTTTTATAAGCTTCTCTCTTGAAGAGAATTTCACTAAGAGAATTGATCCTTTTAAATAGAAATAGTTTCACAAAACAGGATTTATTTCTCAGACTAGGTCAGTTTACCATTTCTTTGGATAGATACCCTTTTTCATTCTTCCATATAAGCAAGTAATCTAAGATGGGGGGGGAGCCCTCTTTATTGTTTTTCAAGTCTAGTACTTCAAAGGTTGTCAATCCTCATTAGAATTCCAAAATTGTGGCACTATACATACTTTAATCTGTAATGGCTGAACTAGAGAAACATGTCCTGATTCCTTTTTTCAACACAGTCCCAAAACATATTATTTATTATTTCTAATTAGATGTAACTGGCACATCTATAATGTTGTCAGTATTTAAGAATATTAGGATTGTAAAGGTAAAGTTTCCCTTGTTCGAAAGCCAGTCAAATCCGACTCTAGGGTTATGGTGCTCATCTCTGTTTCAAAGCCAAAGAGCCAGCGCTGTCTGAAGACGTTTCCGTGGTCATGTGGCCGGCATGACTAAACACCAAGGCGCACGGAATGCTGTTACCTTCCCACTGAAGTCTACTTGCAATTTCTTGCTTTCAAACTGCTAGGTTGGCAGAAGCTGGAACTAGAGACGGGAGCTCACTCCATCATGCGGCACACTCGGGTCTCGAACTGCTGAACTACCGACCTTCCACAGCCTACAGTTCAGCATCTTAACCTCTTGAGCCACCGCAGCTCAATTGTAGCCAGGTGCATATGTATAAAGTAGCATCAAATCATGCCCAATTTATGGTAACCTCAGAAAGGAGCTTTCAAGACAAGTGAGAAGCAGAGGTGTTTTGCCATTGCCTTTCTCTGCAGAGGCTTCCTTGGAGGTTGCTCATGCAAGTAATACCCATGGCTGACCCTACTTTGCTTCTGAGATCTGACTAGGGCAGGGTATACAATGCCACCTTCCCTCCTTGTAGACAGGGACACCTTTTTAATTCTAGCATTTTTACACATTGCTAGATATTTATCATGAGATCACAGATTCATCATTCATTATCAGAGCTGTAACGAGGGCGAGGCAAGTGAGGAACCTAACTCACATGCATAAAACTGAAGGATGCAGAAAAAATGTATAAAATATAACTCTACTATATCAAGCTGCCATGCCGTTAGGAAAGGACAGATTTGTATAAATTCAAATAGAACCAACCAAGTAGGGACAACTGATCTATAAGGGGGGGGGGGAGGCAGTACACTGTGAAGCTCTGCTCCTTGCTTCTTTCTTCTTTTACAATAAAAGTAAACTAAACCAAGATGTGTGCTGGACTTAGGTGAGCAAATAGAAACAAGTTTGCCATAAGGACACACACACACACACCGTTTCTTTCCCCGTTCACCTCTTCCTACTTCCTCCCTCCTGGCCTCACAGCCCACAGGACAGCAAGCTGCAACCCACATCTGAGAATATTTCAGGAGGGGGGAAATTGGCAGGGATGTCTGAGCCATGAGATGTGCAACTCCAATTCTTCACTAATGAGAGGGACTCCCTGAAGGACTTTAAACTTTTTGAACATTTGGAGGCTGAAAGATTCAGAGTGAGGGTTAAGTAGGGTGAGAAGCAAACTTCGTCTTCCACTTCTTGTAAACACAAAAGATACCTACACACAAACCCTTGAAGCTGGGGAAGGATTTTCTTTCTATTTGCTACTGTAGTGCAGAGAAACTACAGCCCAAGGCAGTGTTCCTTCTAAGCTGAGACAGTGTGAGCTAGCTCACAGTTTTCTAGCCTCCGGCTCACACGTTTTTGTCTTAGCTCAGGAATGATGGCTCCAGAGCGAACTAATCGATGAGGTAGCCAAATTGCTCGCTCACAACTTTAATGCCAGTAGCTCACAAAGTAGAATTTTTGCTCACAGAACTCCACAGTTTAGCGGGAACATTGTTAGCTGGCTTGTCAAAATCTGAGAGACAGCATGTTCCCCTCATAACCCTGTGTTGTGTTTTTAATCCATTCCTTCACTGGCTTGCTTTTGTAAGTTGCAGTAGTTCATTCTTTTGGGGGGGGGACTTCCCTCAGGATGCATATCAACTATCTGGTTCTGATTTGTTATAACAACATTGCATAATGATTTGCTGAGGCTCCTTCAGTGAGCAATAATTGTTCAGAGATAGCCTCCCCAGTGGTTTATTCATTCTCCATCAGTTAGAACGACACATTGGTGAGAGATTTCTTGTGATTGTCACAGCAGTTTCTTTACCATGCAGTTGTAGAGGACTCATGAGAAGGATATCCCATGAAAGAATACTTGCAATTAATATAAAGCAGCTGAGACATAATCCCACCAACGAGGAGATCTCCTGTCTGATACCACTCATGTGGGACAAGGAGAAGATCGCTCTCTGGGCAGTGCATGAAATCCTTGCACACCAGTGGAGTGAAGAGAAGCTGCAGTGCCAGTAGCCCCAACAACATCCTGGCTGCAAAGTTTCTGCCTAGATGCAGACCTTCCTGAGCCCATCAACAAGCTGCCGTGTACGGCTGCTGGCTTGCAATGCCTTTGCAGAAGGGGCAATTATTAGAGTTATCTTTAGAATCAGGCAGGCTAGAAATGCTTGTCCCACATGGCCATCAGAGACTTCCAATGCAGTGACTTGATGTTTGCCTTCTCAAAATGGGATGGAAACTGTGACAGAGACAACTTGATACACAGCCTTCCCTGCTTTGGGGGACAGAAGGGATTTTCTTTATATGACCACCTGAAGATTTGAGTGCTGTTTTCGCTCTCTCTCGCTCATCCTAAGAGTCACTGTAGCTTGGCCATGGAAATAAATGTCAGTAATTACACAGGCGAACAAAATTGGCTGGTGTAATTAAATGGCACCGTTGTGAGATTACTTTTTTTCCTCCAGAACTTGCTCCAAGTCTAGTCTGCTCGCTGCTCGGTGGTAAACAAAAGGGAAGTAAGCACCTGATTTCCTTCTGAGCAAGCTCCAGTAGGGAAATTAGGCCCTACATTTGAAGCTTGAAAGGGAACACAATACAGGGTTCGATGCAGAAAGGAAGGCCACTGACAGGCTCCCATGGTCCCCTTTGGAGTAGACCTGGAGAATTTGTATGGGGGGGGGCTTTGGGGGGCACCACACCTTCCCTTAAAGGGACTGCCCCAGAAGATTTCCATCCTCCCTCCACCCAAAGTGAATTCTGCCATGCTGCTGGCAGTGCGGGAGCTCAAGAAGCTGGTTGGTGGGGGAAGAGAGGGGAGGCGCAGCCTCTTGCTGGCAGAGTCTTCTCCCTTCTTGCTAGCCATTTTAACCCCCTCTCTGCTCAGCTGATGGTGGGGGAAGAGTGAGGAGGGAGAGGCAGCCGCATTGCCTCTTTGCCTGCTGATACTTCTTCCTGCTGGCTGGTGGGGGAAGAGAGGAGGCAGCCATTTTGGCTTTGTTGTGGGCCACCAAGACTTCTTCCTGCTTGTAAACATGGAGCAGACTCGCTCAGCCAGCAACAAGGGTAGCCCGCCGTTTTCCTCTCCTTGCCAAGTTTAAATTTTTAATCTAAATTAACCCGCTTGATCCCGGAGCCCCCCAAGATAAAAAAAAATCCTCACTATGGGCCTGAAGTAGGCCGTATCATGCAAAAAAGATAATCCAGTATTGTGTAGTGGGTTGCCGCATGGATGGACGACAGACAACGACGTAGTGCATAGCACGCTTTATTAGTACACAACACGAACGCCCTGCAAACGGCCAGCAGGCCAACTATATACACTACCAGGGGACCACCCCTGGGTCTCATTGGCGGGTTTGAATCTCCCGCCTCTGTCCCATTGGTTCCCCCAGTGGAGGGACTAGGATCCTAGTCCCCATTGTTGTCCTAGACTGAAGCTCAGGTGTGTGCGCTGACCTCCGGTGGCGGTCAGTGGACACAACATCCAGTAACATTCAGATTCACAGCTTCATGTGTTCACCTCTGCCTGGCTCCCCAGTTTCTCTCCTGGCTTGGCATGGGCATCTGTAGTCTCAGATATCTCTGTTCCCGAACACAGTGCCTTGACAGCTGGCCAGATCCATCAAAGAACTCTTCAAAGGGCAATATGGGGAGAGGATTTTTTTCCCTTTCCTTTGTCAAAGTAAAAGTTTCTGTTCAAGGATAATCTTAACAATTCAGACTTCTACAAATTTCGTGAAGGAATTTTATAGATTTTTTTAAAAAAATATTATTAACCCACCCCCCTTCCTCTTGGCTCAAGACAGCTTTAGATACACAAGGACACGCAAGAAAGTTTCATTTCTTTTTATTTTATGTGTAATTACATTTGTTTAGGTCCTTCCTGCATTCTTTCTGTTTTCTCCCCTCCCCCTGTGCACTGTACACTGATGCTTATTTGCAGGACACATTCCCAAAACTTACACTAGGTAGGTGGTGGTAGTGTATCACAAAAGGACAATGTTGTGCTGTACTCAATGAATGAATTGGATGGCCCTAGGCATTCTTCATTTGTGTTCAAGCTCCTCATCCAATGATTGCTGTCTTGCTCAGAAGTGTTTCATGAGAACTAAACCTTTCACCGATGGAGCCCCCGGATTTCATTTTACATACAGATTGGATATGCAAATTGTTCTCACCTGGTCTAATCCAGAGGATCTTAAAATGCTTCCTTCAATCAAAGTGTGACTCAGAAATCTAATACATCTCATCTTCCCCCCCCCTCTTCTCTTTTCCCTCCAGAAGGCACCATGAACTCCCTGCTCCTGGCCTTTGGGCTGTTTGCTTGTCTACTTTGTAAGTGCCTCTTCACAGAGGCATCCTTGTTTCATTTTGCTACTTTTGAGATCCAGGTCTTTTTGTAACAGGGTTTTTTTTTCATTCCTCCTTTCTAGGCGTCCAGTCTGCGGTGACCCTGAGGCAGCCTGGATCAGTGCAGCTGAGGCCATCAGAAACCCTCCGGCTCACTTGTTCTGTTTCTGGATTTTCCCTCACTTCTGCTGGCTCTATAGTGAGCTGGGTTCGTCAACCCGCAGGGAAAGGCCTGGAGTGGCTGTGCCACATTGATTGGGATGGTGACAAGTTCTACCTGGACTCCCTGAGAAGCCGGCTAAGTATCTCCAGCGACACATCCAAGAGCGAGGTTCATTTGGAGATGAGAGGCATGCAGCCAGGAGACACCGGCACATACTACTGTGCTGGAGGAGCACAGCAGATCAAAGCAATGGGAGACCCGGACAAATACCAACTGCATAGTGACTCAGCTAGCCAGGAAGCAGAGCACCATGGGTACTGAATGCAACCTGCCCATAGTTTCTAACAAACATTGACTGCAGCCACCTGAATCTCCACAAACATAGAGAGGAAGTGAAGGCTATGTGGTCTGCACTGTATCTGGCCATGCATCCTGTGTGGGCATACTGTCTGGCAACTTTAAAACATTAAAAACTATCTGGCAACTTCCTGGCAAAGAAAGCCACAGTGAAGCTGATGGAGGACAAAAATCTCACTTAGCCTAGAACAATATAAAAGTTAACAACCACCTCTTCATTGCATTTTTCTATGATCTCTCCAGTCAGTGAATGCATATCCAAATCTGGTGATGGGGGGAGATGTTCGTAGCCACACCATACAAACTTTGGCCCTGCTCATGGTGGTTCATGGCAGTTCATGAATGATCACCTTTTCCAGACAGACTCTCTCTACTCAATTAAACGGTTTACAAAATTCTAAGGCAACAGGGGAGGCAGAATTCTCCAGCTTTGGAAACACCAATGGAAGTCATCCAAAGCTTAACAGGCACCGCTAACTGCCAATAACAGAGTTCCCATTCTGCCCTATGGGATCAGAATGCTATACATACCCTCTGCTCAGCTCTGTGGCATCATTTCTCTTGGCTGTTCACAGTTGCAAGGAAAGGCAGGGAACTTGTTTAAAGCACAGTAGCAGAGCACATTCCCTCGTGATTGGGAATAGGGATGGGCACAAACCGGCTCATGGACTAAAGTTCATCATGAATCTTGGCCAGTTCATGGTTTGCAAAGTGAAGTTTGTGGAAGGCTGCCCATCATGAACATTCCACAAAGTTTACATAAGAACATAAGAGAAGCCAATGTTGGATCAAGCCAATGGTCCATCCAGTCCAACACTCTGTCACAAAGTGCCCAAAAATAGCAGGTGCCATCAGGAGGTCCATCAGTGGGGCCAGGACACTAGAAGCCTTCCCACTGTTGCTCCCACCCAAGCACCAAGAATACAGAACATCACTTGCCCCAGACTGAGAGTTCCTATTTATACCTTGTGGCTAATAACCACTGGTGGACCTCTGCTTCATATGTTTATCCAATTCTGTTTGTAGCGGTTCATGGTAGTTTGTGAATGGACACATTTTCCAGACAATCTCTGCTCAATTAAACAGTTTATGAAACTCCAAGGCAATGCAGGGGGATGGAATTATCCAGCTTGGAAACACCAATAGAAGCCACCCAAAGCACTGCTGGCTGCCAGTAACAGTTCCTCTTCTGCTCTAAGGGATCAGAAATCTATGTAAATGCTCTCAGCTCTCCAGCCTCTTTTCTCTTGGCTGGCTGGATGCAGTTACAGAGAGAGGCAGGGGACCTGTTTAAAGCAAACTAGCAAGCACAAGTCCTGTATCACCTTAAAGATCAACAAAAATTGTGGCACAGTATAAGCTCCTCTCAGTCACTGCTCACTTCTTCAGAGACAGCTAGAATGTGAGTCCATCTGTGCTATATATTGGAAAGTGGAGTGATTTCAAATGCCAAATGACATTAGCAGGAAATTACCAATATCAGGCATGATTGGATTAGGTGTGATACACACAGGGGTAGTAGGTGTTGACTAATCAACATTGGTAATGAGACAGGAAACCTAGGTCTTGATTTAATCCAGGAGCATGCATTGTCTTCAGTTTCATTATCACTTGCAATTCAGCAGTCTCTTGTTCTAATCCCCCATTGAAATTCCTTTGTAAGAGAACTGCTACTCTTAGGTCAGCATTTAAATGTCCTGGAAGGTTAAAATGTCCCCCTACTGGTTTTTGAGTATTGTGGTTTCTAATGTCCAGCATTCCTAGCACCCACACCATCACACTCAGAGGGTGTCATGGGGCTGTGATGGCTTAGCCAAGAGGGACAGGAAAGAAATGACCAATCATAGACTGGAGTCAACAGAGACCAGGACCCATGCACATTCCAACTGAGGAGCAAGACAGGGGAAGGCTATGTACCATGAGGCTATAGTTACAGTACACCCCTGCTTAAAGATACAGGCAACTGTCAAATGTGAATGGAGGGGAGGGGAGCCATGAATTGGTGCACTGGGTGTTACCTCAAACAGGGCTATCCAGGAACACATCCCACATCAGATGAAGGGCACAACATCCAGGGAAAACCCAAGGAACAAAGACAGAGCTTCTACCCAGGAGTGGGCAGTGCTCAAAGGCAGAGTCATGGTGAGAGGAACAATGGAATGGAACCCAGGCCAGGCTGCTGGGGCACAGGCCTGGATGGGGACATGAGCTGCCACCAATAACTCCCTGGGAAGCTCCTTGATCCATGCCTCCATGCCCCTTGTCCCCAGTGAGGGCCACCAGATCTCCCAGGTGCTCATTAGCTGACGTGAGAGACACTGCCATCCCCACTGTGCTCTGAGAACTCTGAGAAACAGCATCCCACAGCCCAGTTTCTGGAGGATGGTTGTCCTGGTTTTCTCTCCTCCTAAAATTGGTGCTCCAGTCTCCAAAGAAAGGGTACTTGTTATAGTTCTTCAGTTAGACATATTACCTTTCTCTCGTGGGTGTTCATGCTAGGTGCTCTCCCAGTGGTGCTAAGTGCCCATTATTTTCTTTGCAGCTACAAACATTAAACACTGCACTCTCTAAGTCCTCCTGGCAGGGAGTTTTGAGACAGTTTCATTGTGGGCAACTAACCTAATGATTTATGGTCACCTTGGTAGAGGTTTATGTAGGGCGGGGTGTGTGTGTTAAATCTCTTGCTATGCCCTGTTCTCAAACTGACTGTTTGCCACATCACCTTGCTTACTTAAGGATTTCAAATGGAGAAGAGGTGTGCTACTTCATGGTCTCCAATATTTTTTGATAGTTCCCTTCTCTAAATCAGAGCCCCTATAGCTAATCAGGACAAAAGTGTCAGACAAGGGATAAGATGATTCCTTAATGCTTTCTTGTTATTACTTGTTCTCTTCTGTTCAGATCAGGCCTTAGAACAATAATATAGCATTTGTGGGAAAATATACAGCACAGTAACCCAGCACCAGAGACTAAGATAGAGAAAATCTCCACGGCTACCATGTATTTCCCTTCGGTGCTCAGGTAGGTTGGAACAAAACACAGCCAAACGCTGCAAAAGACCAGCATGCTGAATGTGATGAATCTGCCTTCGTTAAAACTGTCTGGCAATTTCCGGGCAAGAAAAGCCACAGTAAAGCATATGAAAGATAAAAATCCCATGAAGCCCAGAACAATATAAAACATAGCCACAGACCCTTCATTGCATTCTGCTATGATTTCTGTGGTCATGGACTTTGTGTCCATATCTGGGAATGGTGGAGTGGTTCCTAGCCACACTGTACAGATACAAATTTGAATAATGGAGCAGGAAAGGACAATAGAGATGGTCAGTCTTTTCCCCATCCACTTCCTCATGCTGGACCCTGGTTTGATGGCCATGAAAGCTACAACCACATTGATGGTTTTGGCCAAGACACAAGAAACTGCCATGGTGAAAATGATGCCAAAAGCAGACTGTTGGAGAAAGCAGGTCACCTTGCTTGGTCGTCCAAGGAAGAGGAATGCACAGAGGAAGCAAAGCAGGAGAGAGATGAGGAGAGCATAGGTGAGATCCTGGTTGTTGGCTTTGACAATGGGAGTGTCTTTGTGCTTAATAAATGTTCTTAATATCAAAACTGTGATTAGGGACAGGGTTACAGCACCTGAAGCCAGACAGGTCCCCAATGGTTCTTCATAGGAGAGAAAGTTTATCATCTTGGGAATACACTGATCTTTTCCTTTGCTTGTATATTGATCTTCTGGACAACTATAGCAGTCATCCATATCTGGAAAAGGGAAGAGTGACCATCTCAGTTTCAGTTCACATGAAGCTAAGAGATAAATCTAATGGTTCCCTTCAATATGTGAGATATTATTCATGCTGAAATCCAGCAACTGGTTATACGCTAGGGCATAGATCTCCAGTGTGGTAGCCAAGGATACCATAACGCCCATGAAGAACTTTACTGGCAACTGTGGGTTCCACTTGGAGGTATTGCCCAGCAGAGATACTTAAATACTACTGAAGATGTGATTGGCTGAGCATATTGAAGGAGGAGGAGATTGGATTTATACCCCGCCCTTCACTTGGAGTCTCAGAGCGGCTTACAAACTTTCCCCCCTTTCCCTCAGCACATCAGACATCCTTTGAGGTCGGTGGGGCCGAGAGAGCTCTTTTGAAAACTGCGCTTTCAGAACAGCTCCGGCAGAACTATCACTTGCCCAGGGTCATCCAGCAGCTGCAAGTGGAGGAGTGGGGAATCAAACCCAGTTCTCCAGATTAGAGGCCACACAATTAACCACTACAACAAACTGGCTCTCCTTTTGGAGCAGCTGAAATTCCAGCAAAAGTTAATCTGTGATTGAAAATGATTTCAAACAACACTTTCTATTTTAAAAACATCTAGTTATTTTGTTGACAAGTTACTATTAGAGTTATTTATTACCCCATTCCCTGATATTTTGTGCTTGGTTCTGCCTTCTGCAGTAGCCATTTCTTTGATGCTTCCGACTACCCTGTGTCAGAATTCCAATGGTGCCTGCAGGATCAAAAAAGCTTGTGCTAGGGAGTATCATCCAACCATTTGTGAAAGGGAAGGGAGTTTTTCCCCAGCCATGTTGCTTGGGATCATGTTAACTGGAGTTATCAATGACTGAAATTGGGGGGTGGGTTCTTCATGCGATACAAGTGTATGTGTTCTAACAGCCTTCCCAAGACATTTGCCTCGGTTCCACTGGTTACATTTCTCATCTCTGACATTTGTGTGCTTGCAGAGCTCCTATGGAAGTCAGAATCACTTACCCTGCTGGATAGAAAACTTCCCTTCTGGGCAAGGAACACACTCATAGCAGCAGAACTGCTCCCCTTCTTTCTTTCTTTTCTGATACCCGGGCTGACAGGCATCACTACATCTCGAAAGAGGCAAGGTCTATCCAAGAAGAAGACAGGAACTAATGGCACTTCAAAGTCCAATGAATGTTAATAG